TTTGGATGGAGCATTGTCAAAAGGCATTTGAATGCCTTAAGGCAGCTGTAACAAATGAGCCAGTCTTGGCATTACCTAACTTTGCCAAGACATTTGATGTGCACACAGATGCCTTAGACTTCGCCATTTGGGGTGTCCTGATGCAGGATAAGCATCTCATAGCATTTGAGAGCTGCAAGTTAAATGAGACGGAGCGGCGTTACACGGTGCAAGAGAATGAAATGACTGCCATTGTGCATTGCCTTCATACATGGAGACATTATCTGCTCGGGTTGAGGTTCGTGGTCAAGACTGATAATGTGGCTACTAGCTACTTTCAGACACAGAAGAAGATCACACCAAAGCAGGCTAGGTGGTAGGATTTCTTAGCCGAGTTTGATTATGCGTTGGAGTATAAGCCGGGAAAAGGTAATGTTGTAGCCGATGCCTTGAGCCGGAAAGACGAGCTTACTGCAATCACTTCAGCGAGATGGGACATTCGGGAGGCTATAAAAGAAGGCATGCAGCATAATCCAGTAGCCAGACAGCTTATCGAGTTAGCTAACAAAGGCAAGACGAGACAGTTTTGGATAGAAGACGGCTTACTACTTACCACAGGTCGGCGGGTCTACATTCCTAAGTTTGGAACATTAGAAGACGGATCATAAGAGAGAGTCATGACACAATGTGGGTTGGTCAACCCGGTCAACGTCGCACTAGGGCCTTGGTTGAGTCAGTCTACTATTGGCCACGCATGCGAGATGACATAGAGTGTTATGTGCAGACTTGTCTTGTCTGTCAACAGGACAAAGTTGAACAACAACAACCCGGAGGACTTTTGGAGCCACTACTAGTTGCAGAGCGTCGATGGGAANGCAAAGCTCCTAGACATCGCCCAATTCTCTTATAACTTGCAGTGGAGTGAGTCCACTGGGCGGATACCATTTGAGCTAGCCACAGGCCAATAACCACAAACTCCACATTCATTACCAGTCGCGTTCGAGGGAAAGAGTTTGGGGGCTTATCATATGTCCAAAGGATGGGAGGAGCAGCTCGACACTGCTAAGTCCTACTTGGATAAGGCAGCTAAGAATATGAAGAAGTTTGCAGACCATAAGCGGCGTCCCACATACTATAGAGTTGGGGACATGGTCATGGTGAAGTTTAACCCAAGACATTTCAAGGCACTATGGGGCATGCATCAGAATCTGATTCGCAAGTATGAAGAGCCATTTAAGATCGTCGCCAAGGTAGGCAAGATCTCATACAAGCTTGACATGTCATCGTATCTTAAGATCTACCCTGTCTTCCATGCCAGCATGCTTAAGCCATATCATGAAGATAAAAATGATCCGAGTAGGGGCCAATCAAGTCGAGCGCCAATGACTATCACCACCTCGCATAATCGGGAGATTGAGGCTATCATAGATTACCAGGCCAGGCAAAAACAAGGGCAAAAAGCCACCGCTATCTTCCTCGTCCATTGGAAAGGGCAATCACGAAGGAGGCCACGTGGGAACGATATGAAGACTTGTGGCAATTCAAAGATAAGATCTGAGAGTTTATGCAGCAGCATTGCGCCGCGGTCATCGTAATATTGGGTGGGGGAGAGTGTGATGACCCTCCATGTCATCATGCCACATAGGCGCCATCTGGCATTATTAATGCCATGTGGTAGCCTACATAAGAAGAAGGCTAGCATTTGTAAGAAGATTCTAGAGAGGTATGGACATTTCCTTAGGAAGAACCTAGATCCTTATAGATTTGCTAAGAAAGTCCTTGGAATCTTCTAGGCTTGTAGAAAATTCTAGAGAAAACTCTTATCTTGTAAATATCAAGGACTTGTATAATAATTAATATTTACACACTGGCCCCTAAGAGACTAGTATATAAAGGGGACCACTTATTTGTAATTTATCAAACAAACAATTCAAGTTCTCTCTAATACAAAGCTTCCTTTAACAATTCTCTTGTGTTCTTTCTTCCATTCTTTTAGCGATCTTGAGTGTAGTAAGACTGACTTGACATAGCAAGAACGTGAGCAAGTTGTGCAAGATCGTGAGCGAATTATCAAGTGCCGCACGTATACTTAGTTAACAACTAAGGACGTGACATAGGTCTCCTTAATGCGGCTTGGATAATTCTCACCTCTTGACCAGTTAGCTTTTTTTTGGTCTTGTTGATCAGTTAACTTTTGGAATTGTCTTTGCTTGATTCCTTTTGGAGGAGATTTACTTCCTTTCCTTAATTTTCACTTTATCAGCAAATCCATTAATCAAATTATTCCATACATCAAACTTCCATCAATCTTTTAATTTCATGGGTGCATGTAAAGTTTCTTTCCTTTATTTAAAAGCTATTATCTGCATTTTGAAATGGGGTTACCTATATCCCTATTACGCTTAATATGTCAATCCTTTGTTATATTGTTCATGGTGAAGATTTAAGAGTGACTCATTAGGTTTTAAGAGTGTTTTTTATAATAACTTTATATTGTTTAGTAAATAGTTTTTTAATACTGTAAACTATTATAAATAGTGCAATACAAACTTAATTTCGTTTTATATGTTATTGTTTAATTTTGGTACACTAATTATTCTCACTGGAGATTTTATCACTTTTTTTAAAAGTAGCATGCATGTTTAAAATTAAACTATTCTACTTAGAGGATTTTAATTCATAATCAAGCGTAACCCTGAAATTTAATATCTCATTTTCTCCGCTTCCCCCATCCAAAAGAAAAGGTAAAAATTTAAAAATACGCGTTCAAAAATAAAAATCAAAATCAAGTATAATTAATCCATGAAAGCGTTCATGCATATGAGCTAGGCATAACAATATTATCGTTATTAATAGCAAGAGAACAATATTCCATAGTAGACGACAAAAACATTATATGTCTCTCACCACTGTAAAGTTATATTCTTGTCCACATGTGACCAAGTTGACAATTCCGGAAATCCAATAAACCACAGCACTACAGGCTCCGCTTGCAGCTGTTTTGTAAATCTGCTTGTTTCAGTTTGTTAATGTACGTACTATACTATAAAAAAGCAATATTAATACAATGAATGTACAGTACCCTTATATTATAACGCACTAAAGGACATTGAAACATCATCCAAGACCATGCAGGAATCTAGCTAATATCTGTAGCCAGCAATTTTCAAGAATTTCAACTCTTTCGTAAGCAACACACCGTTTACACATGCTCCTTTTTCTATTTTTACCACTGTTCATTTTGTTAATTCCATTTATTCTTTTTCTTATTGGAGTATCTTGATTAGTATATACCATTAGAATTAAACGTGAGAGTTTTTTTTTCGTGTGTGTGTTTTGTTTTCTTTTGGTAGGGTAGGGCTTGTACGCGTGGGTTGCTGAGTCCTCTTTATTTTTGTAGTTACTCCACTGTTGGGCAAAGTACAGCCTAAGAGTACAGCCATGAGCCTATATAAATTCTTTGTAATGTGAAGGAAGCAGGAGAATATTATATAAAGTACTCTTGCTAAGGTGGTGAGAAAATAATAGTGAGGAAGAAGGAAAACAGAAGTATTCAGCATCAAATTAAAGCACTACAGCATTAAGCAACATCAACGTCTTGATAAATTCTGCTAAAGATGATTCTTGAGAAACAGTGACAAATACTTATGCATGGTACGTTTGCATGGAATTGGCATGTTTTTGGTATCTTTAGAGGATTATAAAACCTGCATTTACGACTTAATTTCCACTTCTAGCTATCATTTTATATATAATTCCCTAATCTCGATCTTGCCTTTTCCTTTTCCTTTTCCTCTGAGGTTGTAGTGTATGGATGCTTTCGAATAAAATGTCGACGTTCTTCTCGCACGTTTATACCTAATTAAGTTTACTGTGTTTCTACACAATTTATATCATTGAACTTGAAGTTTAGCTGCCAAAGCTTAAGCAGAGCATTGACAAATTTTGTACTTCGGTAAAACTTTGTATCGAAAATGAATCCTTGTTTTTTGAGTTAATTAATTTCAAGTCTTATCTTGAAACCGTTCTTTCATTTAATTTGCTGTATATAAGATATACATTCTGTTGGATATAATTGAGTTCTTTTAGTTTCTATCATTTTAAACTTTTTACTTTTAACTTTTTTGTTGACTACTTTCACTTTCTCTTTCTTATTTTTGACTTGATTGCCAATTACACATGTTTATTCGGTTATTCTTTAGCATTTACATATACATTCTGTTTTCCAAAAATGCAAATTAATCATGAATTTCTGTCAATTTATCTTTGATTATGTCAAGTCTAGCAATTCTAAAAGGTAACAATATTAATAATTTCCATCGCATGAGAATTTATCTATGGCGCTCCTACTTTGTGATTTCTAATAATTTTGAAGTAGTTAAACTGATTTTTATTTGTTGGCGTTGCTACTGGGATACAGCAGGTGATAAATTTTGAGATGTTTGTCTTATTAATTTATTTATTGGAAGAAACTCTGCTTTAATAGGAATTGATTCTCATATATATGTGAGAATAATTCATAGCTTGAAGTATCTGTTGTAAGTTAATTTTTATAGCTGGTCAAGGAAATAATTCTTTTTTAATCCTTTTTGATCTTTATATATGTTCAAAACTTTTATATAATCAAGAGAGAAGAGATACTAAATATAATATCTGTGCCAATGTGAGAACAGGAAAAGATTTTCCACTTGAAAAAATACAGAATTTTAAGTAGGCGTTTGAAGATAAGAATTGTAATTTTTGAAAAAAAATACTCATTTAGATTTAAATTGAAAAATGGTATTTCAAATTATGTTTGAACATGTATTTCCCTTTAAACATAAATATTGTAGTTTTGTTAGTGAGGAAAAAAGTATTTTGGAACATTTTGAAAAAGTGTTCAAAACCACTTTTTGATTTTTGAAAAACTTATTTTCGAAAAAATTTCAAAAACTTGTAAAATTTCATGGACAAATACATTTTTAAAAAAAAATTCTGAAAAAAAGAAATTTCTTTTTTCATAATATTTATTTCATATTCAGTTACATATATTAATTTTTTAAAAAATATTAATATAAATAGATTTAAAATTATGCTATTTACTGTGATTTATACTCTAGTTGATAAGAGACCAACACGAACACAACTTTTATTTTTCTTCAAAATGTATTTATTAGAGGAAAAATGCTACTATATAGCCGCTTTCAATAAATAGCCGAAAAAATATATTTTTTTGTATATCTTTTGTATATATGTACATTCTGTATGTTATATACAAAATTATACAAATTTTATATACTTTTTTTGTTATCAAATATAAATAGTTTCTGGCACGAGCTAAAAAAAGCCCTATTCTATATGTTAATTAGATGATAAATGCTTTTAACTTGTGAATCACATTGTATAGTTAACTGTTCATTCAGGGGAAGTTCTTTTTAAAGCAGTTGAAGGCTATTTTGTATTGTTTTTCTTATCCAATTGCTCCTAGAGCGAGCTAACTCTAAAAAATTCGTCCAACCGTTCAAATTTCAGGCTGCAATTTGCTCGCATAAAGTCAATTTAAATAAATATAAAATTAAAATTTAATTATTCAACCATGAATAAATGCAAACAAATATGTGTATAGAATATATGGTATATATATATGTGAGCATGTGTGGCTCTGTGTATGTGTTTTAGAATTCTTGTGTAGAGCTGATGAAAATAAGTGGTATTTTAATGTTTCAACATTATCTTATATTAGGACACGTAGAATTTGGCATTTTCAGGTGAAAAGTGGAAGCATCTGTTTTGGATTCAAGTGCAAATCTCCACTGTCTCCAGCTCACTCGAGGAAAAACTTGTCTACAACATATCCATTGCATGCATGCTGCTCTCAATTGTTATTTATTTACTCTCTGAAGTTTCCAAATATTTTTGTTTTATTTATAAAAAGAATTTTTAACGGTTTTAGCTTTTAAGAACTTTCTTTGCGTTGAAAATATTCCTATTTCAATTTAAACCGTATCTTGTGATAAGGAGCAGGAGGATTGTCTGGCATACAACTGTTTTTAATGATTTTTCTAGAAACATTTTCAAATCCTGCTCTTTTTTTTTTTTTTTTTTTTTTTTTTTTTTTTTTTTTTTTTTTTTTTTCTCTTTCCTCTCTATCATCTTCTCGTCGTTCCTAATTAAAACAAAAATTTCCTTTTAATTTCATACAAATTAACAAATATGGTATTGATGAAATTTTGATGTATAAAGTGGGATCAGAACAAGTTGAAAGCATTTATTATTAAGCAATTTAATTTGATATGATGTAAATATTTTGAGATGTAATGATAGTTGTAATGATTAACAATATGTTCAATAGTTTTTTTTTCCTTAAACAGAGAATCAAATTAATTGGAAAACAGTGACCAGAAGACAGTGCGCTGGAAGTTGACCACTTCTGCCCCTTAGGAACTTGGTGATTTTTTTTTATCTTTTAGAAATGTTTTCTAAAATTGTTTATTAGGTGGTGTTTGCTGCATTAATTGAAAATTAATTTTTTCGACAAAATAAATATATTTGAATTTGATCTTCGCAAACAATCAAAAACTGCGCCAAAATCTATAAAAACGTGAGCCGTCAGATAGACACGTGGCTAACTAAAGGACCAGAATTGAAAGGCATACGGTAAACCCGCGGAGCAGGAAACTAATCCACCTCTCTCCGAATTTCCGAAGCCCCCTTCGCTGAAAATTGAAAATCAGAAAAAAGTAAAATTGGAGGAGAGGCTTAGCGGTAGGGACAGAGAAGATCAGAGACGTATGAAAAAGGCAGAGAGTTACGGCTAATTTTTTGAATCAATTTTCACTTCCCTTCGTAAGTGTTTTTCCCGCGTTTTTTTTTTGTGCCTCGAATCGGTTGAAATTTTCTGTATTTTTAATGATTTTTTTGTGTATTAAATTCTTTACTAATTATAGTTAGATTCATGTATATCTGCAAGTTTATTTGTTTCTATTCGTATATCTTGAGATTATATGCAAATCAAACATAAGAGTTAACCATCAGATCGAGAAGAAATCGAGCAATCGTTTTAGCAACTTCAAATAGCTGATTTTTATTTGTTTAACTACGTTATAATACTGAATTAGCGAGGGAATTCGATTTCATAATTTTTAAATGCTTAAAATTGAACTAGAATCTGAATTTCTAAAAATTGGCGTCAACAGCTGAAAAAATTAGAAATCCTATACCTTTCTTCCCTGAGGAAAATGAATGATTAATCACTTGAAATTTGATTACCACGTCTTGTTCCTTGAATAATCCGATGTTTTTTGGCCTTTAATGGTTTTCCATTATCCTCTTTGAGAAATTAGTAAAACCGGACAGAAAAGGATAGTTGAGATTATAATTTGGTGTTGACTAGATATAACTCGATAGTCGACTAATTGCACCAAAAAGGGAGGAATTTGATTTCACTGCCTATCTGAATGGGTAAAAACAGAAATTCATGCTATATTTTAAATCAATTGTCAAGGTAAAATTTTCTCTTGAGAAAAATAGGGGAAAGATGACGGTTTTGTTACGAGATCTGAGGATATTTCATGCTTATTTCTAAAGAGATAAGCTTGCACTCTATGGAGGAAATGATAAGTTATCAGCTTGAATTATGGACTAACGATCACTGAATCCTATATGTCATGTGGTGATATAATGAATTAATTGGAAGTAAATAGAAACAATTAAGATAAACAAACTGCAGATGTTCATTTAGAGAAACATTAACAACGGATTCTGATGATGCATGGAGATAACCTTTTAGGAGGTGGAAAGCATCGCAAGTTTGCCATGTTATCTGATTAACAAAGGTGATGATTGCAGCTATTTAGTGCAATAGGAAATCAAATCTACGTATAATAACCAATTTAGTTAAACAAATTCAGATGTATTCACCTGAAAATTTATTCCTTGATTTTGCAATAATTTCAAGTTAGTCTAAAGGAGGTTTGAAACGAGTGGATAATGTTGGAGAAAAAACAGCTTGGATGTCTGAACATTAGCGAGGTCTACCCTGATAAACAATAATATATGGTAGTTAGCATTGGGTATCATATCTGAGCATTACCTGAGTCATGGAACTTGAGTTTGAAGCCATGTGTCCCAGTTAGTTTACCATGGTAACTTCTCAACCCAAAACCAGAAAGAATAAAAAAATGATAATATTAATATGAGAGCAGGTGTTGTGCTGGCTATTTCTGCGCTATGTTTACAGATAGTATTGTTGGAAGGTCATTTTGGCCTTATATGGTTGTGGTTGTAAATCAATATAATGTTCTTTGCATGTCTAATTAGTTTAAGGTCTTAGCTAAACATTCTGTGTCAATTTACCATCAAAATGTTACCTTCTGTGAGAGCACATGCTCCTATAAGCGCGTCTAGCTGTCTACCAGTGATGAATGTGGCTTGAGTTCTGAACTTATGGTATGACCTACATTTGCCTTAAACTGGATTAGATGTGAATATTAGAACTCTTTTCCAATTTGGAAGTTATTTGAATTTTCCAGTTGTTGGCTTCTAACCGAGGTATATCATTGGATTTAGTGAAGATCCTGATGATGCATCTTAATTTTGTTGGTGGTGCAAACATTATGGATCCTTAAATCATAAGTGACCTTGAGGGAACCCTAATTAAGATGGAATGACTGGTAAAGTCTGTTCCAAATTTATTTTTCACAGTGAGGCCTCCTAGCATGAAGAAAGAAGAGCCCTTATTTTTCTTTTTCAAAAAAAAAAGAAAAAAAAGTTGAAGAAAGAAGAACCTCTCACCAGCGTTGTTTGAACAAAGTACATAGGAAAGATGGCTACTGGTTATAACCTTTGCACTTTAACAAGTGCAAACAGATTGTATGACATGGAGTGTGAAGACTAAAAATGAGAATTCGTGTATGCCCTGCTCTGCTGTCCATGGACTATTATCGTCATGGATTTATTTTTAATTTGTCTATGTACTTTGCTTCCACAATATCTTCTCCAGAAATGAAGTCAAGGAAATCACTGAAGCCTCCTTCTTTGTAGGACAAGATATGTTGTTCATCGACAAGTGCTGGTGCAGGTCTAACTTTTTTACCTAGAGCTAGACTAAGAAGGCTGGCAATGGATAGGCGCTTTTTCTCTGAGTTAACTGTTGCTCGGTGGAGAACACCTTTGTATCGGCCATTGCTCAATACTTCCATGTGATCTCCCAGCTGAACAATGAGGGCTCCTTCAATGACAGGAACTGAATGCCACTTTCCATCATGATCCATGATTTGCAAGCCCTGATGATTTTGAAGAATGATCGTTAGCAAAGCATAATCTGTGTGTGGTGGCAAGCCTAGTGTAAGATCTGGCTCAGGACATGCTGGATAGCAATTAATGGCCATGACCTGGGAGCCTTCTGCAATGTCTTCATGTAAGTAACTAGGGTTTAGTCCTAAGCTCTCAAATATCACTCCCATGAGTTCTTCTTGCAACTTTTGTGCTGCGATCGTGTAATTTCCCATTTTCTCCCTGCATGATAAACTGCTTTAGGTACCTATAGTTTTATTATTCTTGAACAGTGAGAAAATATATCTATCAGAAATCATTTCAGATAAGGGTGCAAAACTTACTTGTAACATGTGGGATTTGATGGCCACAAATCAATCCAATTTGAGAGTGGATTAGCATAGTGCTTGAGGAAGTCTCTCCAAAAGGATACTTTGTCTTTGACATCATTTAGGCTGGTATTATACCTTACGGGATCATGAACATTTGAAGACAAGAGATGCATTTTCTTTTCATTTGGTAAATCGAAGAACTCAGTCGCAGCTTCTAAGGCATCTTTCATGACTGACAATGGGATTCCATGGTTGACTACCTGCAGAGTCATTTATTGCATGCATGCTGTTATTTTACGTCCAGGTTGAATTAGCGAAGCACGTCTTATTCTCTTTCCTGCTAAACCGCTATGTATCTAAAATCTAGGACATCTCTTTTAACTGATCAACTGAAAATAAAGGGACGAGAGGAGGAGGAGGAGGAGGAGGAGATATGTCTAGAAACCAAATGCACCATGTATGCTGCATGAAGTTTCTTTTTCTTGATTTCCAAATGCTTTTGTCTCTCTGTGGGGAATCTGACAACATCTTTTATTTACGTGGTGTGTGTATATTGTTCTTCCTTAAATCATATCAGCACGAAGGAACTTTACATGTAACAAAATAGGATAAAAAACTATATCATTTTAGTACATGATTGCAGGTGACATGACACGAGAGAAGTACCTGGAAGAAACCTAGTTCCTTGCAAGCCAGGTGTACTTCCTCGATTATCCGAGGCCGATGAAGAGGGTGTCGCAGAAAGGATAGATCTACAATTGGCAGGCATGTGTTAGACCGGGTTCCATCGGGGCGTAAGGATGGCGGAAGAATGTAACGTTTGGGAACTTTGGTTAGACCGTCTTCAGTAAGTGTCATGGCACTAGTAAATGAATCATTTGGTGAAGCTGAGCTCTTTTCCATTTTTCCTCATTTTTTTCCTTGTTTCAAATATGGCTTAACTCCTTATTTATAAGCAGAAAATATGAAGATTTAATTATATATATATTTAAAATCATTTATCCGGTTATGCAATGAATATGTGTAGTATGTGATGATACCATGACTATAAGCGATGAAAAGCGTATGCAATGAATTATTATTGTATGATATTGTTATTTTTGAAGGCCGAGAAATGTCAGATGACGGTAATTGTTGGTTTCACAAGTTGATCCAGAATGTGGGGAAAAGAAATCCAGAATGTAATTGAATACAGAGATTGTGTTAGATTCAGGTGGCTGTAGCCCACGCGCCATGAGGGAGAATAGTTTTCCAAATATTTAAACGTGGGGTACGTAAGGTTGCCATTTGCTTTTGTTGAGGACGTAAGCAGTAAGCGCGCTCTCTGGAGTTTGAACTCATTCAATTCGTTGCATTGCGAATAGGGGTGTTTATAAAAATCCGAACTAAATCGAAAATCAAATCTAAATCGATCAAAAAAATCGATACTTTTTTGTTTGGTTTGGTATTGGTTTTGAAATTTAAAAATCGATCAAATTTGGTTTGGTTTTGGTTTTAATTAAAAAAAACTGAACCAAACCGAATATAGGAGTAGTTATTTTAAATTTATTATTGCACCTATATATGTGTACTTTTATACAAAGTTTTAAAATTTTTATAGTAAATATTAATCGTTTGCACTTTTAGTACAGTTCTTTACCTTTACATTCTAGTTTAATTGGTGGTTTTCTTTTGTTAAGTGTAAGAATCTATTTCATGTTAAAAAAAAATATTTTTAATTGGGTCCTTAAATTATTCATCACTATTTGATTCAATTATCATCAATATATCTTGGTAAATAATAGATTTCTCAAAGGGCAATTGATTTGATAGTATTACGTTGAAAATATGGTCGCCGAAATGTGTGTTTGGTAGTGTATGTCTTATATTTAAGAAAAAACCGACAAATAACCGAAAAAATCGAAAAATCAACATAAACCGAATCGAGAAAAAACCGACTTAATTGGTTTGGTTTGGTTCTAATATTTGAAAAACCGACTTAATTGGTTTGGTTTGATTCTAATATTTGAAAAACCGACTTAATTGGTTTGGTTTAGTTCTAATATTTGAAAAACCGACTTAATTGGTTTGGTTTAGTTCTAATATTTGAAAAACCGACTTACTTGGTTTGGTTTCTTTTTAGGGAAAAACCGATTCAAATCGAACCATGAACACCCCAAATTGCGAGTAAGGTTGCTCATGTTTATATTTGCTTCGCTATGTTTGTTTACTAAATTTATAAATCAAATTAACCAAATATAGAAATAGTCGTTTCCTTTTATTTATTTATTTTGGCACTCATCTTTCTTCTTGTATTCGAACATCTTTTGGACTAGGCTTTTACATGGAGGTATATAAAGGGAACTATTCTTAGATATACATAACAGGACTAGGGGTGTATAAGGAAACCGTACCATATCGATAATCCGAATCAAATCGGAAAAAAAAAATTACGATTATGATTTGGTCTAAATTGGTTTGGTGTTGGGAAAAAAATCTAATTATAATTGATTTGGTTTGGTTTAGTTTTAACTAAAAAAAATCAAATCGAAATCAAACCAACCCGACATTATATTTATACATATAAATATTTTTTGTAAGAGAATTTATTAATATTTTTTAAAATTTTTCACAACTTTATTATTAAACATATTATTTCAAGTTTGGACTTAATATTCTTGAATGGTCCAATAAATTTTATAGCCTATAATGATGGTAATTCAAATAAACTTCAAATCAATACTAATACTAATAAGGGAAATTCAATTTAACACTAGAAATGCTATTGTTGGATATATATTTTTTTAGTTTTGCATTGGTTTATAATGAAGCTCAGACCCTACTTGTGGGACTCCACTAGGTTGTTGTTGTTGTTGTTGTTATTGGTTTATAATAAAAATGCATAACTTAGTTTATCTTTTTCTTTAGTGCTTAGTTGTGTAATTAATTAGTACTTATTAGTTGTACTTATTTTAACATGACCTATATAGTATTTTTAAACCAAAACTACAGCTATCGTTTGCTAAATGGTTTATAAATACCCTGCGTCCATCTATCCGTCCAAAAAAACATACGACATTAATTCTATTAACAAAAATACCCCCGCGACTAACGACAGAGTTGGTGGGTCTTTCATTTAATGACGTGACGATTTTTAACTGGGCCACGTGACAATCTTTGACTGGAACAAAAAATGAATATTATTTCAACCAATTTACCTTATCCGACCCATTTACAAAAATGGGTGGTATGTATCATACCCGCTCCCACTAATCTGACCTCCTCTTTCTTCTTCTCCAATCATACACCCCATATTTGGATAAATTACATAACAGAAATGGACCAAATTTACACTAGTAAATTTCAGTTTCAGCTTCCTGCAACGGAGCCACAACAGATTTCGAAATCATAATCGTACCACTGTCAACAGGCTCATCTTTCGCACCTTCATCTTCTGGATTCACATTTACAGCTCTAGAACCATTCACCACCACAAGCTTAACCTCAAACACCTGCGTAAAAAGTTTGTTCACCTGCACAGGTGTTGCTGCCTCAAACACTTCCTTTACTTTATTTTTGATTGAGTGAAACTTCGACTACGTAATCGCTATCAAATCTGACTGTGGAGGTGTTCTAGTAGTAATCAACTGTTAAAATCAATCGCTCGATGAGTTGGGACTCCTTATGGTTCGAGAAACAAGAAGTGGCAGCGATGACGATGATTATACCATTGATAAAAACAAAGAGATACAGAAGTTTAAGCCAAGCTATAACGGCACTCCAAATGGTTGGGAATTCGTTAAAAACCCGTGGAATTGACGCTTTTAATACCATTGCTAAGGAAACTGCCCCAATTGATATTAGCACAACCTTCAGTGATAGAATTAAACTTTTCGTCGACGGTGCCATTTTAATTTCTCCGATAACTTTAACGAAATTGTTTATTTTTCCGGCTAGTGTTTTGAATTTTTCAGTGATCGATTTAATTCAACTGTAAAGTAATTTAATAAAGGCACAATGTTTACACATAATATCAAGCTTTGAAGGAAAATTTTTTTTTAGGGCAAAAGCTCATATGAGCTTTTCAGATGACCAAGATCCTAATTTGGAGAAGAAGACTGAAAATCGGTGGGGTTAATGTAGTTTTATGACCCATGTAACAAACTTAGGGTCGGATTAGGTAAGTGGGTCGAAATAAGTTATTTTGGCCCGAAACTGCCACGTGGTCCAATAAAAAATTGCCATGTCATTAAATTAAAGGCCCACATGTTCTTCCGTTAAACGTGGGGGTAATTTTATAATAAAATTAACGTCGTGTGCTTTTGATAAGGGTAGTTTAGGCCCTTTTCCGTATTTTTTTTTATGAATTTTATTATCTTTGGTATTGAATATTTTTTGTACAATGTTATGACTCATCTCATATTTGTCACGACCCCAAGTCCACTAGTCGTGATGGAACCTAACTCAACCCGCTAGGTAAGCCAACTAATATTTATCCAATTCCAATAATATTAACAAGACAATTAAACAAAAGTAAGTTATTGAATCTTATACATTTCCCAAGGACTGGTAGTACAAATCATGAGCATCTAATAATAGAGTTTACAAAGGTGATAGGAAGTAAATACATCTTCTGTTTGAAAAGTACATAAACAGAGTTCTATGAATCTTCTGTGAGCACGTGATTTTTGCCCTATATATGAATAATTCCCAAAATCCCAAACAAAATAATTTTTCTTTTGTTTTTACAATTTTTGTGCGTTTTGGTGTCATCTTCTGATAATTGTTGCATTTTATTTGTGCGCGTTAATTTTTATAAAATACAAAAATACGCATTTTTCTGCACTTAGGATTTAATTTTATACTTTAGTATTAATTAGGGATTAACCTGTCGCAAATAGTTATCAATTTAATTTTAGGCGTTAATTGGTTGTAGCTTAATTGTTAGTTTAATTTCCCATCTTTGGAAAAAATCAGAAAAAATAAATACAAAAATACAAGATTGCAAAATGCAAAATGGAAAATTATTGTTAAAAGAATATAGAGGGGGTCTTGTTTGAGACCCGAAATTTGGGCCAAATGCACCAAATATTTCAGGCCCAAACGCATCAAACACTTTAAAATGAGTCCAGCCCAAGTCCCTACCCGGTCTGCCCCCCCCTTTAAATGAAACGACGTCGTTTCAGGGCCCTTGGATCAGGACCGTTGGATCTCATCAATCCAACAGTCCGGAACTAACGAGGTTTCCAGTATATAAGGGTCCAAACTGTTCCCCCCACCCCCATTTCCATCGTCTTCTTCACCCTTACCCTTCTCCCCAAACCCTAATCCACGCCGCCCTAAAATTCCTTGCCGGCGGTGAACGCGAACTACACCGTTCACCCTGGAATTAACACCATGGGTTCCCCTCACCCTCTTCTTGCTATTACACCCGATGGTTTGCCTCGAATAAGGCCGGAACTCTTCGAATCTTGATTTGAAGTTTTCCGGCCAGGTGACAATTTGTCCGAATCAGCCCAAAATCATACCCTACAACCCCCAGTCCTTCCCCAACACTAATCTGTGGTTGTTTTCTTTCAAATCACCTTGAAACGACCCAAATCTTAGATCTAAGAATTGCTGACCAAACCCTAAAATCAAATCCTTTTGATTTCGAACCGTAGCACCCTTAACCATGTGTTCTCGTGTAAGAACACATGGTTAGGGATGTTACGCGTCAAAAATCTGAAAGGGTTCAGATGTTTACGACTGGCCGGAACCCCTTTTGCCTTTGTGAGTTTTTCTTTTCTTTTTTTTACTGTTTATTTTGCTAGCATGATTAAAATGTTATTTGCAGTCGTTGTTTCATTATTGTTCTGTTAATTTTATGGTTTAATTGTGTTAGTTTAGGTCCTGTTAATTACTGTTAATTCTGAGATTGTTAGTTGGTTGAATGATTATAAGTTCATGGTTTAATAATTAGTTTTAAGTTCATGTTAATCGTGGTAGCTTAAGCTCAGTTTAATTTCATTTTAGCTTATTTGAGTTGGTTAATTGAACAGAATTGGGTCAGTCAGTCTGATTAGTTGGTTTCTGATTGCTAGCTAATTAATTTTAGTTAGTTTCTGATTGCTAGTTAATTAGTTTTTAGTTAGTTTCAGATTAGGTTAGGGTATTGGGTATAGTTGTTAAGGATAAAGGTAGGTTCAGTAATTCTGAAAGGCTTTCAGGGGTAAGCT